AAAAGTTCTAGAAATCATGGGTCGCAAAAAAATTCCTATGAAACTAATTGAGAATAATTCCTCTAGGCGCATTACCTTCTCAAAACGTCGAGTTGGTCTTTTCAAGAAGGCAAGTGAGTTGGTTAGCTTATGTGCGGTGCAAATGGCCATCGCAATATATTCGCCGACAGGGACTCTATACTCATTCGGTAGTCCAAGTGTTGATCAAATTTTTCAACATTTCTCAAGTAAAAAAGAAAACAGTAATGGTGTCCCTATTGATGCCCAACATGCTACTAGGGTTCAAAATCTCAATCAACAACTCGATCATTTGCAGGACCAGTTAGAGAATCAAAGGAAGCGTAAGTTAGTACTTCGTCAACAAATCAAAAACTCAGAATTTGAGAAAAATATCCAACAAATTGATGAGTTAAGCCCAACTGAGGTCTCAGAGATGTATGCGTCATTGCAAGATATGTACAATAAGGTAAAAGAACAGATTAAGAAGAAAGAAACCTCTCCTGTACCTCCTATCAAATGATACATAAAAATGCTTAAAAAGTAGAAGTAAATGAGCATTGTAATGTAACAATCTCGTTATAAAGTTCGTGAATAAATTTTATTTTAACAAAATAATTTATTATTGCTTAAAGTTGAGTATTTTTTTTTTACTTTCACTAATTTTTTCTATTTTTTTAGTTTTATATATAATAAATTTACTATAACTTCATTCAGATTTCTACATATTGTATTTGGTCCATAAGAGTATGGATGGTATATGCTCGATAACAAACAAATAAAGGTATAACTACTGCAGATATAAAAAAAAAATACCATTAACTTTTTTCACCAATCATAACTTTAAAAAAATTTACGAAATTTAATTGAATGTTTATGTTTAGTTCAAGAATAAAAAACATAAATGTCTTGTAATGTTTAATCTTATTCGAGTTAATTCTTATTTAAATTATTATTGTTACTATTATTATTATTATTATCATCATTATCTTCAGTACTATTTTTAATTTCATATATATAATCTCTAAGTATAAAAATAATTTTATGATATGTACAATATATATTTAATTTTTTAAATATAAAAATAGAATTTTAATTAATTATAATTTATAATTATAAAATTAATTTTTAAAATTATAAAAATCTAATAATATAATAATATAAAACAGCGGCAGCGCCTTTCTGTCACCTCTCTCAATTCAAACGGAAGCAACACCTTCAACACCGCCGCCACCTTCGGCCCGACCCGATCCTTAGCTCGAAATCGCCATAGCCACCTGCTCAGCTGCTCATGTGAAGGCTGAAACTCTACAGACTCAGCCGCAATTGCTTGCAAGTTGCAACTTCTAGTCTCCTACCGCTCTCCTTTTCATATAAAGTTTGAATTCTACTCATTTGATTTCTACTTCCCTTGCAATTTTGTGATCAGTTTATAGATTTTCAATATATGTCTATTCAATGATATTTGCAGGTGTAATCAGTCGCGACCGCCATATTTAGTTTCATTACTCATTTGCTTCCTTTCAGATTCTTACACCTCTCTCTCAGTTCATTGCGGAATTTCCTCCCCTCTCCCTTCCAGAACCGAATTTTGCTGTTTCATTTAGAGCTGTCTCCGTTTCACTGCTTGTTCTCTGTCATAGGCAGTTTCAGGAGCACTTAAATATTAAAGCTGGTATCAATTGATGGGTCTTATGCAAGAGGAAGTGTCTTCCAAACAAACTTCAACGTATGTTCTTGTCACTTATACGTTTTTTTTGGCATATATTTAAGTTTTGATTGTCTAAAATTTCGTTTATTGTTCCAAAAACCAGATAGGTTTTTCATTGGTTTTTTAATGGTGTGAAAATCAGGTTGGATGATAATGACCAATTTATTAACAAGCAAAAGCTTGCTGCTCCTGTCAAATCTGCTGTTGATAAGTTTCAACTCCTTCCCGAGTTTTTAAAGGTATGTATAAAAGAGCTTACCTGCTTGGCTTCTTTTTATGCAGATATCCACGGTTACATTGATGTGCTTTGTCTAATGTTAGAATGATATTATTTATGGTTTCAGTTAAGTGGTCTAGAGTGTTGTGGCTTCTGACCCATGGGAGCAATGGGTGGACTGGATGTTGGGGAACCATTTTTTACTTTAGTTGTAGAAGAAAAGAAGCAGGAGATTCTTGTTAGATGTAGAAAACTGCTCCGGGTTCTCATTTTCTAAAATTATTTATGTTTGATAGATAAAAATGTAACTGTTGAAAATAAAACATAAAGTTTGGTAAATGATAGTGAAAATGTTGACATGGTCTGAAACTAGTCATTTATTCTTTTCAAATTCATGGCGCATATTCATTGCTATCTTCGGAACTTTTCTTTTTAAAATAAATTTTCAACAGTTAAATATGTTGTATATAAGTATATGATTTTAGAAACTAAAAATCAAGATAGTTCTATCTGACTCATTGTTCATGATGCGGATCATTGTATTCACAGAATTAGGGATTTTTGGATCTAAAACTTTTGTTTTTTGTGCAAGGGTCATCCCTTGCGTAGCAGGGATTTTGACTCCCTTTACTTGTAAATTCTGCTTACATGGGGTGGCATGAAATACCAAAAAAAAAAAAAAAGAACAATGCTGTGGCGGTTAACATTTCTCTAAGCTTGGAGTATTTAAATTGTAAATCTATTGCAACAAAAAGTGTTAATATTGTGGTAATAATGATGTAATGCAGGTACGAGGGTTAGTAAAGCAACACTTGGATTCATTTAATTACTTTGTAAATACTGGCATAAAGAAAATTGTGCGCGCCAACAATCGCATAGTTTCCAGTGTTGATCCAAGTATTTATCTCAGGTAAATTTTTTTTTTGAAGGATAGAATTAATTGCTTTTGTGAATGTGGTTCTTAAACAAAATAATGGTACCGCATACATACCATGTTATCTCATGGGAGCAGAGGACATGTTGGTGTAGTTTTGACTGTTTTGGAACCGGGTTTATAAATTCACACTTGGTACAGGTTTAAGGATGTCAGAATTGGTGAGCCCTCTATGGCAGTTGATGGTGTTCAAGAACAAGTTACTCCTCACATGTGCCGATTATCAGACATGACGTATGCAAATTTTTTTTTATGTATATATATTTAAAAATTGATCATATTTTAATTCAGAAACTTCGATATTGAATTTATAGGCATGTTTTTTTGCAAGAAGCTTGGAAGAAAATTTATTTTATTTTTTTTGGGGAGAGGAGAATACACTAATCAACTACCTAGATTCCTAAAAAATACCATCCAGAATATACCAAGTACAAATTTCCACATAAGTATTGGACTACATCTGGAAGGTTTCTAAATAATCTCCATCCAAGAGGTGGTGACCTTTTACCAAATGGTACACATTTTGCAACTAGAGAATATATGGAATTCCAAGTACTAAGTTGATCCCTCTAGAGATGACAGTCCTGATTGATCCTTGCCAAAGATGGGAAGGTGTTTAGTGAAGTCCACATATAAATATCTTCATAGCCAAGAGAACAAAGTGGTATTCACATTTCCATGGCTGGTACTTGTTTCCAATGCCAAATGGCATTTCTGTTATTGGCCACTTATTTCTCAATGCCAAGTAAAATTTATATTCTTTTCATTTAGAGATGGAAATTTTTTTTTTCTTCATATTTTTTATCTCATTTGCATAGTGCATGCTTGGATCCCATCAGAAATTCATGCATAAAGCTGATGAAAATTTAAGTTTTGACTTTACTGCTCTTATCTTGTCTGACCTTCACTGTCAATTTAGATATGCTGCACCGATATATGTCAATGTGGAGTATGTTCAGGGAAGTCATGATCAGAAGACCATAGTGGAGAAGGTATTGAAAATTACTATGATACATTTTTGGTCTAAAGAATGGGTGACTGGATATTTTGTGTTTTGATGCAGAACGATGTTATTATTGGAAGAATGCCTATTATGTTACGAAGTTGCTGTTGTGTTCTACATGGGAAAGATGAATCTGAACTCGCAAGATATGGTTTGTGTGCATGACAATTATCTGCATTTTTTTGTTTGGTCCGCGGCGGGGGGGTGAAGGGGGGAGGGGAGTTTATTTCCTGTTTGTTCATTTTTATCCCTTTTTGGACAGAGTGCGTCTTTTATTTTTCAATTTTAGGTTTATTATTGTTTTCTTGTTGAATTTCAGGTGAGTGTCCTCTTGATCCGGGAGGATATTTTGTTATTAAAGGGACAGAGAAGGTGATTCTTTGACTTGTTCCATTCCTTATTAAAATGTTGCGCTTATATATGTAAAAGTTCATATATATATATTTGTCTATAATTTTTTTTTTAAATATTCATGCATGTTAAAAGTGCTTTCGATGGTATCACTAGTTCCTCTCTCTCTCTCTCTCTCTCTCACTTTCTCTCTTTTCTGGTTCTGCTGTGCTTTTCTTCAATCGTTGAAGGTTCCTTGGGTTGAGGCTTATAGTAAGTGAGATACTGATGCGTTAAAAGGTTCAAGAGGGGCCTAAGGTCCATGTTGTTTGTGTATCAGAGATAAATAACAATTGATATGGTTGTTTTGTCGATCAAGTGGTATTATATTCATTGTTTTGATATGTTCTAGGAGTATGGAAGTGTTCATGGGTTTAGAGCTACAAAGGTGTTGACATGGTTAGCGTGATTCTGATTTCCTTGTTAGTGAAGGTGATGAAGAAAGTAGCTTCATGTCTAGATTTTCTTCCTAGAGGAAATTGAGCCAGAGGATGGTGGTGCCTGTTGCTTCTAGTTGGTTAGACAGGTGGTTTTGATGTCCAAAAGAGTCATAAGGAGGTGTTTGTCATTCATGGTCTTTACTGAAACCTCCCTACATTGGAAGCACTATGTTTAGTCGCAACAAAGCATCACCTTTGGCCATGATCTTGAAGAAAGTCATTGCCCCTACTGTAGGGTG